CCCCCCCCCCCTCCGCCCCCTAAATCTCCGGCAAGGCAGATCAAATTGCTTGGATTATTTTTTTCACTGTGGAAAAAAACGGTCCCAGGGATTGGAAGTGCAAAGTGCAACACGCTCACCTCTGGCACACCAAAGACGCCCAGCTGGGATCCAGGCGGGAACTTAGAGCACCCCTGGCGGAGTTGGGGTAGAAAGTCCGTGTAAACCGGGGGTCCCCAAACCTCAAGGCCCCTTTAAGGCTTTTGGACTTCAACTCCCAGAATTCCCCAGCCAGCAAAGCTGATCAGTGGCTCCCAGCATAGCTGGCTGAGGGATTCTGGGAATTGAAGTCCACAAGCCTGAAAGGGGCCTTGAGGTTGGGGGCCCTGCCCAGGCCCCCCTCGGTCTGAGCCCCTGGCCAGAGAAAGAGGGGGGCTCTTGGAGGGGATCCCTTCGTTTCCCTCTCGGTTCCTGGGGAGAAAACCACGAAATCTCCCTTCCGCAGCCGGCACGCTGCGGGGCTGAACGTGGGTCCTTGGCTTACGACCACAATTCGCGACAGAGTCTCTGGTTTTCAAGCACGGTCGGCTGTTGAGGGAGTTGCGCCCCACTTTACAAAGGTTTTTTTTGGGGGGGGGGGAACGAATCATTAAGGGAATTACTGCAGCCATTAAGTGAATCGCGTGGTCGTTAAGCGAACCTGGCTTCCCCCCACCCCCACCTTTGACTCGGCTGGGAAGGCTGCATGGGGAGATCCCGGGGACTCCGCAACCGTCATAAAGAGGAGACAGTGGCCGAGCGTCCGAATTTGGATTGCGTGGCCACGGGGGAAATGCTGCAATGGTCATAAGTGTGAAAACTGGTCACAAGACATGTCATTCAGTGTCGTTGTAACTTTGAATGGCCACTAAATGAATGGTTATAAGTCGAGGACCTCGCGGGGGGGTGAGCCAAGGCACCCTGCCCCCCCCCCACTTTGGGGGGGGGGTGGAAAGGAAGGCGCCCGCCCCCCCCCCCAGATAAGAGCAGGGCTCCCTCTTGCGGCCCCCATCATCCCCTCCCGGCCGGCGATAGAAGCCAGGGGGCTGCTGACCCTGGGGAGGGGCTAGGGCCGCCTCCCCCCACCCCACCCCGAGTGGGCTTCCTCGTCCTCACCTTGACCTCCTCCGGCTCTTTGCAGGATCCGGGCGCTGAAGGAACGTCTGGAGGGCCTTTGGGTTGCCCTGGAGGAGAAGAGCCAGGACTGCAGGGCCCACGAGGCCCAGGAGCTGGAGCTCATGCAGGAATTCTTCCAAGCCCATAGGTAGGGGAGGGGAGGGGCTGCCCCTTTCTCCCCTGGCCCCTCAGCCTCCGGACACTCTCGGGGTGGGATGAAGACTCCACCACCATGGACAGCAGCAGTCTACCAGCCTTGTGGCCCCTTGAAGAGGTGGGGACTTCAAGTCCCAGCTTTGCTGGCTGTGGAATTCTGGGCGTTGAAGTCCACAGGCCTTAAAGGGGCCACGGCTGGGACGCGGAGTGGGCGGGAGGGAAAGAGGAACTGGGCTGTCCCAGCCTCCTGCGGCCCCTTGCCCCCCCACCCCAGGTGTGTTGGACTAAAACTCCCACCACCCCCTCCGCCAGCACACCTGGGCAAGACCCGTCCTGCTGCTGCTGCCTCTTCCAGCCCCTCCCTGGGCAAGGGGGTCCCCCCAGGCTGCCCCGGGGCCCCTCCTCACCCCCCCCTCTCTCTCTCCTCGCAGCGCCCTGCTCCTCGCCTACCAGAAGGCCCGCCAGAAGCAGGAGAGCCAGGTGGGGCAGCTGGAGACGCAGGTGGGGCTGATGACCAGGCGCCAGGCCAAGCAGCGCCAGGCTCTCCTGCAAACCCTCCAGCAGCTGCAGCGGCCCCCAGGGGCCCCTCCTGGCCTCCCCCAGGCCCCTGGGCCCAGTGAGAGCCCCCTGGAGCCACCCAGGAATTTGGGGGTCCCCTCTTCTTTCTGGAGCAGAAAGTGAGGCTTTGATGGACACCCACAAGCCCCCCCAACGGAGGACCCAGGTGGTTGGGGGCACAAGAGGCTCTGAAACCCCTGAGAAGCGGCATATAAGTCTAAGTGCTCTGGCTATTTCCTTCCTTCCTTCCTTCCAATATCAGATCATCAGAGTTGGAAGGGACCTTGTAGGTCATCTAGACCAACCCCCTGCCCAAGCAGCTGTCTTTCCTCCCTCCCTCCCTCCCTCCCTTCCTTCCCAGTGGTTAGAATACATTATTGCAGGCTAACTCTGCCCACTGCCAGCCGTTCAATTCTGACTGGCTCAGCCTTCCTCCCGTCCTTCCGAGGTGGGTCAGACGAGGCCTCCGGTTGTCTCGGAAGATGCTGCAGAGCACCATGAAGCAGTATAGACGTCTAAGCGCTGCTGGTCTTGCCTGCCCTGCAGCTGTGGGCTGGGCTGCCTCTTCTCCGGCCGTTCCCTTGGCCACTTCACCCAATCTTCCCTGCCTTCTTTCCCAGCGGGTCGCCATCCTTCCCAGGGCCAGAGGCACCCAGGCCTCACCAAAGGGGGGGGGGGGGGGGGGGAGGGGGCGGGTGGTTCTGCCTCCCGCCTGGCTCCGTCAGGGTCGGGGAGAAGCGATCCTGCAACTGTGGGGGGGGGGGGTCTTTGCAGGTTTGGGGTTTTCTCAGAAGTTCTCGGAAACACGAGGGTTTTTCTTCTTCACCTCTTGAAGAATTAATTCATCTGTCCCACCATTAACCCTCCTGTGCATCATCAACCTGCAACCTTTTTCCCCCTGTGAGCCCCTGGGGGAGGCAGCCACACATACTCGAATAAAACATGTCCCGGATGTGGCAAACCTCCCAAGGCTGAAGGCCGTTGTAGCTGGCCATTGGGTGGGTTTCTTCTCTTTTAAGCAGCTCTTTTTAACTTGAATGTATTTTTACATTAAAAAAATTAGTTATGAAAGAGGGTTTGTTTTTAATTATGGTGTTTATAATTAAGGGGGAGGGGGAAGAAGAGAAAGAAGAGAAAGAAAGAAAGAAAGAAAGAAAGAGAGAGAGAGAGAGAGAGAGAGAGAAGGAAGGAAGGAAGGAAGGAAGGAAGGAAGGAAGGAAGAAAGAAAGAAAGAAAGAAAGAAAGAAAGAAAGAAAGAAAGAAGAAAGAAAGAAAGAAAGAAAGAAAGAAAGAAAGAAAGAAAGAAAGAAAGAAAGAAGAAAGAAAGAAAGAAAGAGAAGGAAGGAAGGAAAGAAAAAGAAAGGAAGGAAGGAAGGAAGGAAGGAAGGAAAGAAAGAAAGAAAGAAAGAAAGAAAGAAAGAAAGAAAGAAAGAGAGAGAGAGAGAGCAAGCTCCAACATGAAGTGGTTCTTTTTGAGATCAACATCAGCAAAACTGGGCTTGCTCTATAAGGTCTGCAACCTTGGTCAGCGGGGTTGGTCTAGATGAGAAGACCTCCAGGGGTCCCTTCCTGCCCTGGGAGCCTGAAGCTGCAAAAAAACAAGGATCAGGGAGTCGATGTATCCGGGAGGCCTTGTTGTCAGGAAGGAAGCCGGGAAATGCGGAGAGATCCTGATGGCCACATTCAAACAAAGCGCTTTTAGAAACGAGTGCAAGGGGTCAAACGGGGAGGCTGCCCCTCCCCCCTCCGGGAATTAAAAGTGAAAGGAAAGAAATCCTTGGGGGGGGGGGGGGGGGGGGTTGCCAACATCCTTCCTGGCGGGGCTGCTTAGGGTGTCAAAGGTGAGAGGATTGGGGGCTGGAGGCCAAAACGCACGAAAAAGGGTTGCAGGAATTGGGTACCTCTAGTTAAAAGGAGAAGGGCCGGGATAGCTGTGTTCCAGGATTTGGGGGGCTGCCCCAAGAAAGAGGGGGGTCAGCCTCTTCTCCCAAGCCCCAGAAAGCAGGACAAGAAGCAACGGATGGAAAGTGGACCAAGAGAGAAGCAACCGGGAACTGAAAGAGAAACGTCCAAACAGGGAGGACAATGAAGAAGAGACTGGAAGGGTACAAGGTTTTTTTTTTTTTTTTGCCTGAGCAGGGGCGGGACTAGAAGCCCTCCCAGGCCCCTCCCGCCTCTGTTTCCCAAACCCCGGGCTCGGCCCCACCCCCCCCCCCCCCCCGATGTTTGGGGCTCCTCTCTGGTTCCAGCAGGAGGAGAGTTTGGGGCGCATTTGAGGATAAAATCGCTGAATTGCGTTACGGTGCCAGGAACCGCAAACTGGGGGGGGGGGGG